TGATATATAATTAATATATACTTTCTTTTAATAGTTTAACATTTAATCGCACAATAAGTGTAATTTCTCTCCAATTTATTATTCTCGAAATTTTTATTCCTTTTATTTATTAATTTAATTATTTATTTTTTGGTTCTATTATATCTGTTCTACACATTTAAATTAATTATCCCGGATATTTTAAATTTTCCGTGAATTATTTTTGCCGATTTATTACGAAGTTTAAAAGGATTTATGAAGTCGCGCCATCAACGGAAGTCGGAATTGCGTCGCGGAATTTTCTCCCTTTGCCATTTCGACCGGAAGCCTCGAGGAACTGGAAATCAGCAGGTAGAGAAGTTATGAGGACTGCGACTTTTTAATAGAAAACTTGGCTGGTGGGATCGAGGAGGAAGTGCGGGCGTAATCTTATCGAAATTATCACCGCAATATTTCACGTTCCAACCGGGTATGGCCGCTCGTTGACGAAACTTTTCTGTCCTATGGTCGACTTAATGGCTTTCCATCCCTCCGTTTCGAAATTGAGGAAGGAAAACGATCCCTCACCGCGATTGGATTAAATTTATTTCGCTCCGCTATTCTATCCGATCGTTTCCAACTCCATTCCCATCTTCGAAAGAAGAATTTCACGAATTATCCAATGATGAAGGTAATATTGTTTCGTTATAGAATTTTTACAATGTTTTGAATTATAAGTTTGTTGATTGTTCGTTTCCTCGTTTCTTTTTCGCGTTATATTTATTAATTAAATTGATAATGATCCTCCACTGTTATTTTTACTTTAGTAGCTCCTTCGTGATCTTCAATTTTATGCAGTTTGATTGAATTCCAAAAAATATCCGAAGAAACACAAGTTCTTTTTATTAACTCGATCCGACTTGAAACGTTCATCCTTGACAATAGCACGTTACCATTATCGGTGCACCAATTCCCATCTATTCGAAAGTTTGCGACCAAGTTAAGAAGCGATTCACGAGTTTCGACTCGTTCGTGGAAAGTTCGTGTGGAGGAGGACGAGGGAACGAATCGATGATCGAATCGTCATCACCTAACAGAACTTAATCTCACGTGCCAAATCGATAAATCGATGGTGCTTTTCAATTCAAGATTTTATTAATGACACTTTTCATTTGTATCCTCGACATGACACTCGATTTCGACGATTCCTGACGAAAACGTGGATATATATTTCGAGAAGAAATGAAACGTGTACGTTTAATATCGTTGAATTGATTATAAAGTGAATCCATGCGTTCATTTTGACAATTTTTATCGATTCTTTTATTATTTTATTGTAATTGAAATTTTCCATAGTAATTTTAAATACGTAATTAAAGTTATTGAATTTTTACGGATATTTTAAAGTGGTATGGTCTTCGACTCCTTTCAACAGCAAAGGCATCTAATCTTAGAGATTTTAATCAGTCGGTCGAGGAAAGGTGGATCGGTCACGTACACCGAGTTCCCCTTCGCTTAACCCCATGAATAGGGTTGTCGAAACTGTTGCGACAACATTTTTCAGAATCGACCGGTTAATAGAGCGGAAAAACACGAGAGCGTGCTTATCGAACTCGAACACATCACAATTGAAACCCTGGAAAGTGGTTAAGCGTTGGACGAGGAGCGGCGCAAAGAGAATTTCGATGGGTATAGAGTTATAAAAAAGTAAATAAATAAAGAAATTTTAATTTCAAAAACGGATAAAACGAACAGATAATTTATAGATTTCCACCTAGTTTTTCTCGATTTAAATTCTTTAAATTATTCTTTCGGTGAATTCGGTTTTTATTCCGAGATTAATCTTCAATTAAATCGCTGAATATTTTTCACGTTCTACTAGGAATGGAAATTATCGTAGCCACGTGCAAATTCGCGGAGAAGCGCATCTGGCTAGACCAGGATTACCGAGTTTCAGGCCGATTTCTGTAAAATTAAGGACGCGCAGAACCATTATGCTCCAGGATTATGTACCTACATACATCACTTAAAAATACTATATAATTCAGGAAGTTATTCCAGAATCCGTTCCCCATTTTCAAGAAGCTTCCTGTTTAAGAATGGTTTAGTACTTTGTACCAGCTTATAAGTTTCCTCGAATCTTGCTGACGCTGCATCCGTTCAAATCTACTTAATTTTGCGAGAATATTATTTCAAATTGTCCTCTCCAATTCCTTCAACATATTTTTTTCTTTTTATATATTATCCATTTCATAAAATATTAAAAGATTAACGAGATTAAAACGTTTAATATTCAAATTCGACGCGATTCAAAATTAATTTCACTCGCTAATACACGAAAAATGTATTTATTAAAATAGTGTAATTTAATAATAGAACAATAAAAAAAAAGCACTAGATGTACAAAAGACGTATATAAAATAATCAGAATTCTGGCTCTTAATTAAACGAAAATTTCTCTTCGTTCTCTCCTCGCTCCACGCCTCAAAGAACGATTAAACAGAAATACCCCGCACATCGTTTTAATATGGCCACGATGAACATTCTACATTTCCATCACACGCGTCCATTCCAAATGCAAATTACAGCTTCACCCCCATTCCCGCTATATCTCGAGGCGCATCGATATAACTCAAGGCGATAATTTCGCCGTTCTCCAAAATGGCGGGCGGAACAAAGGTGATGGGGCGCTCATTAACTTTCCAACTTCATCGAGACCGGCCGTTTATCGGTTATCAGGTCGGCGCTAATATATCTCGTCGCCTAACTAGAAATCGATGAGGCCACGTCGCGCCGTTTAATACCGACGAAAATTATTGTCCAAGTTTCACGTTCTTGCGTTCAACCCTCGAGGAGGATGAAAAATGGGAGGACTTTAAACGGGACAAAGGGAACACGTTCCACTCGATGAATAATGCAAAAAATCTAGATTGCTCCCAGCTTCTGCTCCCCGTAACATAATCGAGAATCTTTTCGAATTTTGGATCATCTTCTTCTTCTTCAAATGAGATTGATCGATCGAATCGGGGAATCGAATCGAATCTTTCTTCCTTA